TCCTCCTCCCCCTCCTCCTCCTCCTCTCGCCCCCACGCGGCCTCCAGGGATGTTCCCAAGAGGCTCTTCCAGGCCATCCCCTTGCTCCCACAGATCTCTCTGTTCATCCTGGTTGCCCGCTCTGTCTCACTATATGTGCCTCTTCGTCCCTTTCCCCCTCAACTATCATGGGTAGGGTTTCCCAACGGGCTGGTGGGGGTACGCGAAGCGTGAAAAACTTCCTTCGGCGTGGGTTCGGGGTGCTTTCCAAAACAGCGGCGTTTTGCAGCGCCTCCTTCTCTTGTGTCGGTGCGGGCGTATCTTCTGCAGCGTTGTCCTCGAGTCGCCCGGGCTCGTCTCCACAACGGCGGCACTTTCTAGCGCGCCTCTTCCTCGTGCGAGCCGGCGCTTCATCTCAGTCCTGGGCTGGCGCGATCTCGAAAAAAAGCGGCGTTCTGCAGCGCTGCAGCGCAGGGTGGGTCAGGCACTGGGACGGGTGCCCGGGGACGGAGTAACTTTGAGATCGTTCAGTGCCGTAGACTGCGTGACAAATATTTACGCACAGATCTTCCAGGGCACGAAGCATCCGTGAGGCAGGCGCTATGCTATTTCATCGCAGTGGACCGATCTGGTGTGTGCATCATTCGCGACGGCGACCCCTGAAGCAACAAAAAAACAGTTTCGCGCCAGGTGTGATCTGGACCGGGGGGGTCCAGACCCGGGGTCTGGACCAGGGGAGAGCGTGCTGCTTTGCATGGGCTTGATGCCACGGAATGGAAGACTTGGTATCGCTCGGACGTGTGGATTTTTTCCTTCGGCGAGGACCATCGAGGAGCATCCTTGATCATTTGGCGAAAAAGCCACGCACGAAACCGAAAAACACAGGAAATGGACGTCCGAGCGATGGCGAGTTGATGCCACTGAATGGAAGATGAGTTGGGTCCGTCAGTGGATCAGTCTTGTGTGTTGATGTAGAAGCTGCGAAGCTTTTTCATGGCGCCAACAGCGCAGAGCGGATCTCGTTCGGAAAAAGATAGGATGCGCCCGGAGAGTCCTGCAGAATTTAGGCTGGGGCCAGGCGTTGAGCGTTGAAAGCAGGCGACGGCCAGAACCTCTTGGGATGCAGGTGGTCGGGGGGTCCTCTTCCTCATCCTTCTCCTCCTCCTCCTCCTCCTCCTCCTCCTCCTTCGGCTTCTTCTGCAGGGTCCAAAGCTGAGCGCAATACCCCTCAGCTTTTGACTTCGATTCAGGCGTGTCGTTTTCGAATCCGACTCCGATCCGAGGGCCGTGCGGGATTCCGATTCCTGTCCGTTCTGGCGCGCGTGTTCCTGATTCCGTCCGATCCGATGTTTAACCGATCCGGTTCCGAGTTCCCGATTCGATTGAAGGAGAATGTGGTGAGTCAGACGCTGTGTGAGGTTGGCGCCAGGTGACTTGGGCTGCCTGGAGAAAAATCAGCAGCGTTTTGTAGCGAGTGCTGCGCGTGTGGTCGTGTGGGCGTTTCTTTTTCACACTGGTCATGCCGTCCGTCGTCTGGGACCGCATCGAAAACAAAGGCGTTTTGTAGCGCGTTCCTCCCTGTGCCAGTGCGCCGTTGCTTCCTAAGCGTGGATTGGGCGTGCTATCCAAAGCAGAGTTGCGTGGTAGCGTTTCTTTTCCTGCGTCAGCGCGGGCGTTTCCTCGTAGGTGTGCTCCTGGAGTCGACTGGTCTCGTGTCAAGAACAGCGGCACTGTGTATCGCGTTGCCTGCCTTTGCCAGCTGGCCTTGCTTTCCAATCCTGCTTTGGCGCGGTAGTTATCCAAAACAGCGGCGTTTTGTAGCGTCGCGTTTGCTTGTGTCCGTGTCGTCGTTTCCCTTGAATGCGCAAGGTGAGTTAGTCGCTGGGTGATTTAGGCCCCGGGTGAATCTCGCGCCGGGTGAGTTCGGCCGGATGAGTTCGGCGCCAGGTGAGTCCCGAAGCAGCTGAGTTTGGCGTCGGGTGAGGTAGGCACTCGGTGAGCGGTGTGAGCAGTTCGCTTGTCTCTCTCTCTCGTTCTCTCCTTCCTCCTCCGCCTCCTTCCATTGGCTCGCGTCGCCGTTGGTGTCGTCGCCGCCGCCGCCGTCTCCGCTCCGTGTCTCCGGCACGGCCCCACGCCCGCTCCTGCCCTGGGGAACGTGCGGCCACCAGACGTTGGCTCCACGCTGATCATTTTGCACCCTGGCCCCACTGAGATGGTCCCAGACCCCGCACTGCGCCCCGCCGCCGCCGGCCCCCCCCCCCCCCGGTGCAGCAGCCGCCGCGGCCCCGCCGGCGGGGCCGGCCGCGTCACGCGCTCAGGGCGTGGCCCGTCCCCCCGAGCGGCCCCTTTCGGCCGCTTCTTCTGCCCTGTCCCCTCCTCCTGCATGGTGGCTCAATTCGCTACAACGTCACCCCCGTTGAGGTAGCTCTTCGCCAGCGCAGTTACTCTGCCTCGCCGCCGACGCAAAAAGTCTTCGGCACGCCTTGCGCGCGCGCTCCTCCGAAGAGAACGAAAAGGAGCACAAAGAGGAAGAGCAGGATAATGAGGAGGAGGATTATAGGGAGGAGGAGGAGGAAGAGGACAAGGAGGAGGAGGAAGAGGAGGAGGAGGAGGAGTTAGAGGAGGGATGAGGAGGAGGAGGACGACGACGACAGCGAAGAGGCAGACGAGAAGGAGGAAGAGGAGGAGGAGGAGGAGGAGGAGGAGGCGGAGGGGGAACACGTGAAGGAGGAGGAGGAGAAGGAGGACGCTGAAGTTGTTGGTCTTGGCGTGGCTTAGGCGCCAAGTGAGTCAGGCGCCAGGTGAGGTAGGCGCATGGTGAGTCAGGCGCCGGGCGAGTTACGCGCCGAGTGAGCTGGCACCGAGAAAGTGAGACGCCGGGTGAGTCAGGCGCCGCGTGAGTCAGGCGCCGGGTGAGACAGACTCTGGGTGACTCAGGCGTTGGTTGAGCTGGGCGCCCGGCGAGTGAGGGCTGGGTGAGTGAAGCGCTGGGTGAGTGAGGCGCATGGTGGGTGAGGTGCATGGTGAGTTGGGCACTGGATGAGTTCAGCACCAGGTGAGTAGGGCACCGGGTGAGTTAGGCATCGGGTGAGCTAGGCACTGGGCGAGTTAGCGATCAGGTGCGACTGAATGAGTTAGGCACCGGGTGACTTAGCGACCAGGTGAGTTAGGCTTCGGGTGAGTTAGGCACCAAGTGAGTCAGGCGTTGGGTGAGGTGGGTACCAGGTGAAAGAAGCGCGGGATGGGTCGGGCACCAGGTGAGTTAAGCGTTGGGTGAGTTAAGCACCGTGTGAGTTAGGCGCCGGGTGAGTTAAGGCCAGGTGAATTAAGCAATGAATGAATTAGGAACCGGGTGAGTTAAGGCCAAGTGAGTTAGACCTGGTGAGTTAAGCATCGAGTGAGTTAGACCGGGTGAGTGAAGGACCAGGTGAGCTAGACTAGGTGAGTTAGTCCTTGGTGGGTAAACGATCGGGTGAGTTGAGGTTCCGATTGAGTTAAGGATCGGGTGAACTAGCCCGATTTCGACCGTGCCTTCAGTGGGAAACGTGCGAGTGGTGTCCCGAAATTGGCGGGGGATCGCATGTCGACTTTGCCACTGGGACCTTCGGTGAAGCTCCCTATGTGGCCACGGAACGTGCGATGGGTGTGCCGAAATGGGCGGGGAACCGCATGTGGCCTTTGCTACTAGGGCCTTCGGTGAAGCTCCCTGTGTGCCGAAATGGGGGGGGGGCCGAAATAGGCTGGGAACTGCATGTGGACTGAGCCGCTGCGGCCTCCAGAGGAGCTCCCTGTGGCGCCACGAAACGTGCGAGGGGTGCGCCGAAATTTGATTGGTGCGGAAGGCAGAGGCAGGGATGAGAGGAGGGAGGGGAAGGAGGAGGAGGGAGGAACGCTGGGACTGTCTCTTCAGAACGAGGACCCAACACCACAGGACGTCTGGGAAAAAACCCTTCACATTACCCTGGTGAAGGGCCCAACCATTTGCACTTGTGGGTACCGCAGCTGTGAGTATGATCGTCTGTGGACTCGCCGGTGGGACCACGGGGCGCGCGAGGTGCCGACGTCGATAGGGGGAGGCAGGGGCCACGCGCGGGACGCTGCCGCTGGGGCCTTCGGTGGAGCTCCCCACGGGGCCACGAAAAGCGCGAGGGGGGTGCCGAAACGGGCGCGGCGCTCACATGCGGAGGCTCCCTCTGGTGCCTCCGGTCTAGGCCCCCATCAGTGTGGGGCCGCGGAACGTATGAGGGTTGTGCCGACACGGGCGTGACGACCACATGCGAACGCTCCCTCTGGGGCCTTCGGTGGAGCTGCTTATGGGGCCACGAAACGTCTGAGGGTGTGCCGATTCTGGGGCCTTCGGTGGAGCTCCCCATGGGGCCACGAAAAGCGCGAGGGGGGGCCGAAACGGGCGCGGCGCCCACATGCGGAGGCTCCCTCTGGTGCCTCCCCCCACCATTGTGGGGCCACGAAACGTGTGAGGGTTGTGCCCACACGGGCGTGACGCCCACATGCGAACCCTCCCTCTGGGGCCTTCGGTGGAGCTGCTTATGGGGCCACGAAGCGTCTGAGGATGTGCCGAAACTGGCGTGACCCCCACATGCGGACGCTCCTTCTGGGGCGTTCAGTGGAGCTCCTTATGGGGCCACGAAACGCACGAGGGGTGCACCGAAATGGGCAACGCGGCATCTGGGGCCTTCGGTGGAGCTCCCCATGGGGCCACGAAACGCGCGAGGGGTGCGCCGACATGATCGTGCGGTGGAAGGGGAGCCGCGTGCGAACGCGGCCTCTGAGGCCTGCGATGGAGATCCCGATGGGGCCACGACACGTGTAAGGGGTGTGCCGAAGGGATTGGAGGAGGGGGGGGTGGAGGAAGAAAGAAAGTAAGGAAGGAAGGAGACGCGGGGACTGTTTCTTCAAAACGAGGACCCATCTCAACACAGGATGGTTGGAGATAATCTGTGCGACCTCCGCGCGGACCTCCGAAAATTGATGCTTATGCTGTTGCTTCTTCTTCTTCTGAGGAGTTGTGCGCCAATTGCCACGTGGCTGTGGACACGGGGACGTCAGAGCTGGCTGGGCCGTCCGACGTGATCGACGAGCTGGCCGAGAGGCTGCACGTGTTGACGGACTGCTCGAACTACCAGCAGCTGCCGAGGCTTGGGTTCCTCATCGGCGAGCGGATCCTGAACCTCGAGCCGCACGACTACGTCGACAAGTCAGCGGAGGGCTGCCAGGTCTCCCTGATGCCCCTGAACGTGCCCCCGCCCAAAGGCCCGCTCTTCGTCTTCGGCATCCCGTTCATGGAGAAGTTCTACACGGTCTACGACAACGTGAACAAGCAGGTGGGCTTCGCGGTGGCCAAGCACGTCGGCGACAGTCCTGGGCATGCTGCG